TCAGCAAGATCTACGGACCCCTCCGCTTCTGCTACCTTGAACATGCCCAGACATACTGGCTCGTCGTCAACTGGTGGTCACTCACCGCCGTAGTGCCCTTCTTCTCCCCCACTCTGCTACCAGTCTTTGGCTTCTGTCTCATCAGTGTGACTGTCGGTACATGGGTCCATATCTACTTTGCATACCGCGAGAAGGTTCGCACGATTGCCTGGACAGTATCCGAGAATGCCGCTCGGGCAAAGGCTGCCGCTGAAGAAGCGCGAGATTTTGGATCTATGGCAAAGAAGTACGAAGAACAGATGGTCAATGCTGCAGCTGAGGTGCGACGCGATGCTGTCATTGCGAACTCGGTCAGATTGACAGACTTCTTCGACTGCGCATCTCGTGCATGGTCTACTCTCGCTGAAGCTACGGCCCCAGCTGAGGATGCAGTCGCTCAAGCTCAAAGAGTCATCGCCTCCGCCATCATCGTCGAAGAAACCGAAAAGGTCGATGATAAGCAAAAAGCTGAGAATGAGCGCCTAGCCACATATTTCAGACAATCCGCCGAAACAGCCCATGAGCGCGCAAGAGAAACAGTCGCCCTCCTCCGCGCCGCACAGGCTTCCGTCCGGAATTCCGAAAACGCAGCGCGACAAGACGAAGTCTCCCGCCGTCACGCAGAGCACACCGCTGAGAATGCGACTAACGCTGCAAAGGCTGTTAGTGATACTGTCGCGTCTATTCAAGATGCAGAGCGCAGAGCGGCGTGGGCTGGTGGCGCTGCTGCGAGGAGGGCTGAAGAGGCCGTGACTATGGCGACGAATGGAGAAATTGAAGAGGCTAAGAAGGCTGTCGCTGCGTCTGAGTCTGCGTTCCAGGCGGCTGAGGAGTCAGCAAAGATTGTTCGGGAGGGAATGGAGGCTGCGCAGAGAGGATTGCAAGAGTGGCTGCAGAGCAGTAGGCATGGGGTTTAAGCGGTTGATTAAACTTCAGATAATCTTACTGGGACCGTCTTAAGATAAACAAATACCAATCTTGGATGAACTAGCAGTTGCCGTGTGATGAATTTAGCGGTATCTTAGGATGGCCTGAGTGCTGTTGTAAGATGAGAATAAAGGTATCTAAAGATAGCCCTTACTGGCATTAAGACTTACAGACAAAATTTATTTATTTTATAAATAAATAAATTAATATTACTATAAAACCAATAAGAATTATAAGAAATTTTAAACTTTATATGATAATAACTTAAAATTAATATCCAAAGATAGTATTGATTGATAAACTTATAGCATCTTATGATGAAATTAGCAGCATCTTAAAATGAATTTAGCAGCATCTTGAGATACCATAAGCCGACATCTTAACAACCCCACTCAAGTTCCCCTTTAGTTAAACAACTTCAAAAAGACGTTCAACTTTACGGACAGACATGATATTAAGCGCTGACTCCTGGTGTCTCGCCAATAACAGTTAAAAACTTCTGCGCCCGAGTCCTTCCCTCCTTCAAATCCTTCAGACCATCAGACAACCCCTCAAGGCCGTTCTTACCCACGACGTAAGGATGGGCTGTGAACCAACCCTCTCGGAGACCTCTAGCAAACGCTGCACCCCAAACAACACCGAGTAGTTTGTTCTTCTCATCCTTATCATGGACCTGGCCAACCATCGAGACGACGATATCTACACTGGGGTCGGCACCCTCGACGTCTTTCTTCATCAAGATGTTGGTCACCTTTGGCTTGCGGCCAGTCGAGTCCGGGGGACCAGCGATGGCTTTGGTGACTGTCTTAACAGTGGAATCTTCCGAGACGCTGTCGAAAGCCTTCCAGCACCGACCATCTGGAGCGCCGCCTTTCTTGAAAGCTTCTTGAATCGCCTGGACTAGCTCTTCCTCAGTCTTGAAAACAGTGTAGTCAACGAGTGCGTCTCCCTTGCTCTCGTCGAGGAATGGTTTGATGAAAGCACTGCGCTGGCTTCCAACCGCAATAATCGGATGCACATTCGCAGCAGCGGCTAGCTTGATACCATAAGCTCCAGTAGCAGTACTAGCTCCGTAAATGAGAAGAGGACGCTTGGTCTCGGTCTTGGCGAGTGGCGACCAAGGCTCCGGAATCTCAAGCTCCTGGAATAAAGCGCAGACCGAAGTGTACGCGGCGAGAGGGATGGTAGCAGCTTCTTCGAAAGAGACTGAATCAGGAATATGGAAGGTTGTGTAGTATGGCGCAGTCGCGTACTCGGCAAAAGCACCGTTGGGGGTCCTCATCTCATGGAAGGCGGCTACGCGGTCGCCTTTGTTGAAGCCGACGACATTTTCGCCAACGGCCTCGACGATTCCGGCGATGTCATCGCCGGTGTTGGCATCTTCGCCGAGCCAAACGGGGATCTTCCAATCCTTGGGGTTGGTACCTTGAGAGTTTAGTATTCATGATGCGAGAACGAGGTATGAGTTGAATTACCTGCGATGATAACCTTGATGAGCACGTCGCCTGGGCCTGGCTTAGGAATTGGAGAGTCAATGATCTCAACGGAGGTATCTTTCTTGACGATTGCTTCTTTCATGATGATTGTAGTTTGATGTTCTTTTGTTTGCTTCTTGTCTCGTTAATGCTGAACTTCCGAGGTTGTGATATAAATACTGAGCGTTTCTTATAGATGGCACTAGAAACAGTATCACAGTAACGTTATCTAGTACAATTCGCCATCTAGCATGATATGCATGACCTCATTTCCTCGGCATTCGACCTTCATTAGTAATGATAGTGGATCGACATCTCTTTCTATTAACCGTTAGACTCTCCGGGTCTCGGGGTCAATCATGAGCCCGGGACCCGTTTAATCTTTGACTTTGAAGCTTTATGCGTCTCTAGCAGTTCAATTGCGCTGGGAACGGTCTAAATATTGTCCCGAAAGAAAATGCGATGCAACTTTTGTTGACGAAATGTCTCCGAGACGAGATTGAGTGAAGTTGGCGATGCGCGTATTTACGTGTCAGCACCTTATTGTTGTGGGGTTTTTGACTTTCGGTCTCGGTTTCTACTCATTTCTAGCTAGCACGATATGTCCCACTTACCCGCACGGAACTCTCCGTGCCGTCCTTCCAGGGACAGTAGAGTGCTCGCATGAAGATTTGTAATCCTGGTGCCCAAGGTGATGTCAAAAGGCTTTATCTATTATACACAGGCGCAGTGCACGCGACGCGATAGTGAACGAGATACTTCCCCTTATAATGTTCAATCTCGGTGAAGACTTTTGAATGTTCTTACCTTGGTTTATAGGAACAAGAAGCAAGAAAGCTAAGAGTGTTTATCATGGTTTATGAATACTAATATTATCCACAATCCGCCAATATTGCACAAGCTGATCGACAGTCCAATGGAAGAATCTGCCTGCTGGTTCAATAGCAACTGCAACATAGCCCTTTTACCCAGGTAGTACCGAAGATTCTGATAGGAAAACTGTAAGAACAGTCGCGTATCTATAATCATTAGCGGGAGCTTCGGGAAGGGCATAAGGTATAGCTTACGTTGCCCCCGCGATAATCAGTTCTTGACTCTTCATTCTTGTGCCACCAGAGATCATTGCAACGAAAAATACCGTCGCACCACCAACAGCAAACAGCCGCGACGATGTGCTACTCAGGTAGGAACAGAGAATGACTGGTGCCAGCAGCATGATGACAACTATCGGGATCATCAAAGCGCGAGAGATGAGAGCCGCAGATGATCTTGTAGGGATGTAAATATGGGCAGTGTCTCTTGAGACTTTAGGGGAGTAGCTCTGTAAACTAAATTAGTATTATGGAATATCGAATGAGTACAGCAAGGGCTGAAATACTGGGAAGAAGTAATCTCGCACACGGAGCAGGTTCTCAGCCACGTTGTTCTCTAGTCCTATCATGGCAGATTCATCCCGGGGACTGGTACTTAGGAGCTCTTGCAGTGGGTAGTTTAGATACCTGCTTTCTGCTCGTGCGATCGATCCGGTGCCATTGACCCAATTCTGCAGATTCGTCACGGCTTGAGGATCAGCTTGTTCGAGTTCTGAAATCTGTCGACTTCTCAATAGGAACTTGTCTAAGCTTGTTAGTCATACTTCAAGACCGCTAAAGCTAATCTCACCTAGATCCTCCAGAGCTTCATCGAGTTCCGTAACAACTTTCGCTCGTTCCGTATTCTGATCCCGCTGACAACTGCCCAGGAACAGTGGCCTGTCTTCATCTCTATCAATCTTGTGCAATTTGCTCTCGAGCGCGACAACACGGTTTTGTTTAAGTAGTAGTAGCCGTGCACGAACGTTCAGGAATCTTCGTGCGACAAAAAAAGAGTCATGTGAAGATATCAACGACGAAAACTGCGGGTATCCCTTAGGGTAGTCCTCGACTTGGTAGCTGTTAGCCTCGCTTATAAGCAATTTATTGACAGCCTTGCTTACTTTGCGGTAATTGCATTACCGGAGCACTCTTGTTCCAAAAAGGTAACAACGGAAGTGAGAAACAGGCAGATGATGGCCATGTCAGATTTGGCCACCTGAAGCTCCAGTTTCTGCCGTTTGTACCTATCCTCGACAATGGCGTAGTGCTGCACTGGCCCAATTCGATATCAGAAGTAGTTGAAGACATGGCTCTTCTTCGTAAGCTTGTATTACTGTCCAAAGTCTGGTAACTCTGATATTGTAAGAAGGTCGAAGTATCTGGAGAAAGCTAATAATTTCCACACTGTTCAGAAGGTTGAAACGCTGCAAGAAAGTGCATTTGTGATTGAAGTTGTACTTTTTAGTGTCTTGAGCTGCCTCTTTGCGACCCCAAGCTCATAGGCTCGGTCCGCCCGCTGAGGCGTCCCCTGGGCGTGTGCTCAGCCCCAATAATACCGGGACTTGCATGACTATCAATGCTTATCATCCAACGGTCCAACTTCTCGTCCTTTTCAATCAGACCATACACAAAGACGCTCCTATCGTGATCTCTTGAAATCATTTGAATGGCAGCTACTAACGAATCCTCAGCGCGCTGGGCGCTCATGATTGGAATCAATTATTACCCCAAAGATCGACATCTTAATGGCAGTGTCGACGACGTTAGTGACATCAGGGCCTATCTAGAGCAGCACAGCGCTACGGCAATTCACACATCCGTGCTCACAGCCACTGTACCGAAGGATCATCAATCCACTAAAGATCCACCAGAGACGCCCGATGAGAGGCCAACCAGGGCAAATGTTTTGAAGCAGCTTCGCTTAATCATTGATTCTGCGAAACCCGGCGATCACGTCTATATCCACTTCTCAGGGCACGGTGCTCAATTGCCATCAGACGGCAGCGTTGGCGAAACTGGTTTCGGCGAGCTAGGTCTTGTTCTTTACGAAAATGGGGAGCATGGTGCTAGCTATTTTCGCGGGCGCTTTTTAGCCCAGGCTCTCAAGAGAATGGTCGACAAAGGTCTCGTTGTCACTGTCGCGCTGGACTGCTGCTTCTCAGGCGCCGTCAGTCGAGGCGATCGAGTACGGGCTATGGAATACGACGCGTCGCTGGATGCCGACAGAGCTGAACAAGAGCAAGAATGCAAAGACGCCCTAGGAATCCCCGATCGCGATGCAAGGATTGGTAGAGATTGGCTTGTCAATCCCGAGGGTTACACAATAATCACGGCTTGTGGTCCCCACGAAAAGGCCATGGAAGTTCTTGTCAACAAGACCCAGAAACGAGGCGCCCTCACTTATCACCTTCTCAAAGCCCTTACGACCTTGGCAAAAGTGAAAGAGGTTGTGTCGCACCAATCGCTCCACGAAACGGTTGTTTCTCTGATGCAAGCGTCAGGCTGTAGTCAGACGCCAATGCGCTACGGCAATACTCACCTCTCCTTCTTTGGGACACTTCTAGCCCCAGTCTCGCTCACTTCCTTGCCGGTATGCAAGATAGAAGGTTCAAGGATTTTTATAAAGGCGGGACGAGTCCATGGCATCTCAATCGGAGACGAGTTCACTGTTCAGAACAGTCTTTCAGCTACCTCGAGCCGGACTTCTCATTCGAGGGTCAAGTTCAGAGTCTCTAATGTTTGGGCTTTCGAATCCGAATTGACAGTTGCTCAAGCCAGAAAAGCAACGCCACCAGCCTTCCCCTTTAGTATGAAAGATCTAGAGACCTTGAATGCCACACAGTTATCGACTGTTTCATCGCAACGCATCAGGGTATGGCTTCCAGCAGAGTTGCTACGAAATACAGAGCTGGAAGATAAGCCAAAGGTGTTACGTTACTTCGAGACTATTACAGACAAAGAAGAAAGGGGTCTTTGTATGTTTGAACTGAACATCAACAAATTGAACAAATACGAAATTGTCGGTGAAGCTCAAGGGAGCATGCTTCAGCTACCAACACTCGACGCTAGCTTAGACGATTCGTTTCCCAAAATGATGGAAACTATTCAGCATGCTGCAACGTTCAAGTTCTTCGAGGGCTTGGCCAATTTAATTCCATCTACAGAGCTCAGAGCAAAGTACACGCTCAAGCCAGTAGTGGACTCCTCCACAAATGGAGTCTTTAAAATTTCAGACGGTGAGACCTTTGGATTCACTATCGAGAACCATGCGACCCACCCTCTATACATGGCCGTCTTTGACTTTTCTCCTTCTTGGGCTGTAAGCAACCTGATATCAGCTTCAGGAGGAGGCGACTATATCCTTGTCCCACCACCTCATGGCCCAAACCTCGGCATGAAGGAGATGAAATTAAAGATGACAGTTCCAAGCCATCTGAGTTTGCAGGGCCAGGCTCGAGATGTCATCAAGGTCTTTATCACAGACAAGCCGGTTTCTTTTCCGGGGATGGTTTTGCCAGGACTGGATGTCAAGTCAAATTTCAGGAACTCTTCTGCAAGCGCAGATATTCTCTCTGACCTCATTAAGCAGTTGAGTACTGGGGGAAGGATGAGGAGTGCTGGAAATAAGGGGACGTGGATAACGCACAATTTCGTAGTTTGGACTTCTACTAACTAACATATTGCTACTCAAGGTACATGCCGCCCCAGAACAGGGTTTAAAAAGGGTCATCAACCAATTCCAACTCGCTCTCATCATACTCGCGCCCCTGCATAACCTCTTTGCCGCTATCGTCGCAGAGGATATACTTTCCCCCTCTCACTTCCGATACTGTGTATGTCGATCCATTTGAGAGTACTCTGACTATATCGTTCGGCCTGAGTTTTGTAGCCTACGAGATATCAGTTTAGTAGGGGCCTCATGTAGGAGTGACGTGCCGTAGCAAAGCTTCTGATCGAGGGGCGACCTCCATCAATCACCTGTACTTCAGGCGCATCCTGCTGGCTATGCGACGGTCAGTGGCGCTATGGGATGCTGGGGGACACAATGTACGTTGACTCGATTGGAGCCTTTTGATCCTCTGACGCATCTCCCATGGTGAATGTGGTGGAGGTAAACTCAAACAGATTCGCTGCTACTAGGAGCTGAGGGGCCAATTGAGGTAGCTACCTAGGCCAATACAGTACTAGCAGTAGATCCAAGATTTAAAGTAGTGGAGGCTGAGCCCAGAAGCTAGGATTTTTAGAGCCCAGCAGGGAATGCGGCTCAAACGTCTTGCGACCCAGTCGGCCTCAAATAATACAAAGAATAGGTAGGCAACAGATCACCAGCAAAATCTAAGTGAGCTGCCACGCAATAATAGAGAGGCGACTGCAATGCACCGTGGGCATTTTTCCACCTATTAGAATTGTTGGTTGGTCGGCGAGGTTTCTGCGTCGAATCAGCGATTAATATTCTTCCGCCTTATCGGAATTATTGGAGGGTAGGGCTCTTCTTTTTAGTGGTGATGACATTCTGCAGGTGGTTACACAACTGCTGAGACAGAGCAGCTATTCGCTATCTTTTGGCTGCTGCCTGTTTGGAGGCCTTCGATTCCGTAATCACCCTTGTCTATCATAATGTGAAAGCCAGTGGCTCGCTTACCAAGCCTGTAGTAAGCCTAAAATATGCATAGATGGTTATCGCCAAGATAATGTAATCGACCTGCTGGAGGCCTTGTCTAACAGAGTGGCAGACGGTATCAGCTCATGCGTAATAGCCTAAATGCCAATGCCGGCGAGTGGCTTGGCTGCCTAGACTCACTGTAATAGTGCCTTTTGAGTTCATTTCAATCAGCAGTGCGTACTTGGTACCTTGTTAATAATGTCTGAACTTGCAATGTAGCCAAGAGTTTAAGCTTAAAAGGTCTATTTTTTATATATAATCTTTTCCGCCAAAATCTAAAGCGCCTAGTCTGACATCTCTTATAGCCCTACGGACCTCAGCTGATATCCTTGAGAACATGGATTCTGTGCAAGCGATTCATGACCCGGGGAGGAAGCCAGAGACAAGCACCCAAGACAACGAAGCGAGGATTTCCATGTTAACCGATCGCATCAAACAACTCAGAGAAGAATTCGCAAGCAGGGGCCACGGAGAGTATTTCAATCGGTCTATTGAGCTGCGAAGGGAGATATTGGCATTAACGCATCCTAACGATCGTCAGAACAAGGCCCTTCAATTACATCTGCTTAGCAATGAACTCAGCGATAGGTTTGCAGAGACAGACGATCTCGATGATCTGAAAGAATCCATAGAGCTTGGGATCCAGGCGTTGGATCTTACCTCAGAAGGCGATCCGCGAAAGACTGTATTCCTCAGAAGACTTGAGTTTCTGTACGAAGAAAAGTACGAGGAGACGGAAGACATTGCTGATCTTGATGAGGTCATTCGCTACCAAAGGCTCTCCGTTGACGCCACAGACCCCACCAATAGTTCGCTGATGGCGGCCTGGTTGTTTGTTTTAGGCGCAAAGCTTGACAAGAGGGCAGAAGTAACAGGGGAAATCGCCGACTTGGACGAGAGTATCGAGACTTTTAGAAAGGTCGTTGAACTGAAGCCTGGGAACCTAAGCGCTAAGAAACTGATCCAAGCCTTGTACAACCGGTATACATGGACCAGCGAGGTACAGGATTTGGAGGAATGCGTTAGGCTTCATCGGCAGATCACTGATTCATCAGATACGGATGTAGGGAGGGTGGAGTGGATGATCAAGAAAGCTAACTATCTTTGTATTCTGCATGAAAGAACCGAAGATGAACATTACCTCGAGGAGGCATTTTTGGTAGCTAACGAAGCACTGGCCTTGGTTCCCGAGGCCAATTGGAAACCCAAATGGCTACGTTGTCTGGGACGACTGTTCGGCTGTCAATACCTCAAGACTGAAGGGATGGCAGACCTTGAAGAGGCGATACGCCTAGAGAGATTGGCACTCGAACTAACGCCGAATGGTGATGAGGATGAAGAAGTTTTCACCTTGACAAATCTAGGGAACCGTCTGGGTGATAAGTATCTGAGAACAAATGATGTTGCCGACATTGACGAAGCTATTGACTGCGCCAGACAGTCGTTGGACCTGGACCCTGAGAAGCCTGAGCGACTGTATAACCTCGCTATAAAACTGGGTGATCGATTCTCAAGAACGGAGGATCTGGATGATGTCGATGAGGCTATCGAACTTGAGAGGAAAGCGTTAAAGATAATGCCAGTGGACCACTCTGAGAGAGCAGACTATTTGAATATTCTAGGTAATCAGCTGGGCGATCTATACAAGTACACCGGAGATCTTGACGATCTAGAAGAAGCCATTCGCAACGCCGAGGAAGCGTTGGGTCTGATGTCAGAGGACCATGCGCTCAGGGCAGCGTGGCTAAACAGCCTTGGCAACCATTATCTGGATCGTTATACCGCAACCGGAGACGAACATGACCTAGACTTGTCAATCACAAACTACGACCGAGCTCTTCACCACGAGCCCTCAGCGACGGAAGATCGCGTCAAAGCCGGCCAAACAATTCTTTCCAACTGTTCAAATAGTCAGCAGCTCTATGATACTGCGAAGCTTGCTGTAAGCCTCATCCCTAAGCTTGTATCATGGTCCCACGAGAATCAGGACAGACAGTACGTACTCAGTCAAGTAGTTGGGCTAGCCTCCGACGCAGCTGCAGCAGCGTTACAAGCGGGTCAATCCCCCATGACGGCCTTGCAGCTGCTGGAACAAGGTCGGGGTATCATTGGATCATCACTCCAGGACATGCGCAGCGACGTGCAAGATTTGGCGAAGGAGCACCCGGGACTAGCGGAGAGATATCGCTCTTTACAAGCTGAACTGAACCGGCGAGCCGAGCACGGTAGAGCCACAGACTCGCAGTGGCAAGCCTCGATTAACAGACGACATGCTGCTGCCAAGGAGTTCACGGAGTTGGCTGCTGAAATCCGTAGTTTGCCTGGGTTTGAAGACTTCATGCTCTCTCACACGGAAGATGAGATCTGCGGTGCTTCAGAACGCGGCCCGATCGTGGTGATCAATGTCAGTAGCCTTCGCTGCGATGCTCTTATTGTCGCGGACAGCCAAATTCATACATTGGAGCTACCCAGTATAACTCTGGAGGAACTTGAGCGAAAGGTAAAGCCTTGGGCTCTCGCAACTTCGCAGACTCTCGAGTGGCTCTGGGATGCCATCATGAGTCCCATACTCAGCATGCTAGGTTTTTCTGGACCTCCGCCGACAGATGCATGGCCGCATGTCTGGTGGATTCCAACTGGCCCTTTGGTTCAGCTTCCGCTTCATGCAGCAGGATACCATAGACAACAAGGTTCCGAAGCAGTACTAGATACAGTTATATCGTCATACGGGTCTTCCATCCGCAACATAATTCGTGGCCGTCGAGACTCATCCCAGTCGTCTGGCTCTGATCAGGCACTACTTGTTGCGATGGAGCATACACCTGGCCACGACACGCTTACTTTCGCCAATGGAGAGGTGGAATTGATAGACGGCATGGTCCGCTCTATGAAACTCGAGTCAATTATACCCACCCGCACCAAGGAGGAGGTCATTCGATATCTGCCGGACTGCAAGATCTTCCACTTTGCTGGCCACGGCCTCGCTCATACAGAAGACCCATCGAAGAGTTGCCTCTTACTAGAAGACTGGAAGGAAGATTCACTCAAGGTTTCTGACCTCTTAGATATGAATCTTCGACAAAGGTCACCCTTCCTTGCATACCTATCGGCATGTGGCACCGGCCAGATCAAAGATGAGACATCATTCGATGAGAACATCAACCTCATCAGCGCGTTCCAAATCGCCGGGTTCAGGCATGTAATTGGTACGCTGTGGAACGTCCAAGATGATATTTCTGTTGAGATGGCACAGATGACGTATCAGGAGCTGCTCGACTCCGATATATCGGATGAGTCTATCTGCCGCGGGCTGCACAGGGCAACTCGTGAGTTGAGGAGAAGGTGGATAGAGAAGCATGAGACTAGCAAGAGTGTAAGAACTGCTCCGGATTCCGATGGACACGACGCCGCTAAAGGATCTCTATCGCGTTCAGTCAGAGACGCATCTTTGATTGGTGATACAGACAATAACCTTGGCTCAGCTGATTGGGCGCCCTACATACACTACGGGGTGTAGATTAAGACTGTGGTTTTATAATTGTCAAAAGCGAGCGACAAAAACAATAAATTTCGTGGCTTGGCTTGAAGTTCAGCAACACAGAGAACGAATGGAAAATGGCGCCTATCCTTGCTGTGTTGCATAAAGCATCCAATCCCAGAGCACTATCAAGCCACCTTCTGCAAAATACGTCACTAAAAGCCAAATATGCCTTGCGAAGAAGTCATCCAATTAAACTCTCTACTTCAGTTATTCTGACTGTGGTGGCACGTGAGGTCTCAGATCAGGCTCTGAAAGCCCAAGGCGCCTTTGGCCCAAAAACTTGCCATCGGCAACTAATATTAGGGTCAATGCTATTCTGGTAGACCATGATTCCTCATCAGACATCGCATCCATCGCGTGCTGCATCCTCAGCCGGCGACTGTACTCTGTCCACTAGAAGTGTTGCTATCACTGAACTCGAAAATGCAGTCGCTCGCTTCCAAGCTGCATTGACGGATGACGATCGCAAACGCTTGCAGGACTTGAGGAACCTGCCGCATGATGCTCAGTCGATCATTGTGTTCACAGCGGAGCTGGATATGCAGCAGAGTGGAAAGCGGAGAGGTAAAAGCATAGCTTCGCGGCTTACATCATTTCTACAAATCATTCAGCAATTCACTCCCGTTATCGATACATATATTCAATCCAATCCTGATATCAGCGCAATCATCTGGGGCTCAATCAAATTGACATTTACGGTATATACTCTTAACAGTCACCATTTCCTGTCTGTCGCCTAACTATTCTGTCTTAGTTTCTTGCAAACTTCCTATCCCAATTCCAATCCTTCGTTGAATTACTGCAAGGTTTCGGCTCTCTATATTCCAGACTTGGCCACTACCAGATACTATTCCAAGACTCGACCCGCTTGAATGATTCAATTTGCCAATTCCACACGTCTGTGATTCTCTGCTGTGAAAGGGTTATTTACCTCATCCGTCAATCCAGTATGGAAACCAAAACCGTCTTCATTACTCTGAAGCTAATTCCCGTCCTTCAAGCATTCACCACTCAAGTCTGGAGAGCCATCACCTGCTCATTTCAGACTGAGATTCGAAGCTATGTTGAGAACGTCAAGAAAAAAGCCGACAATGCGCAAAAAGAGGTTGAGTTGGCTAAAGCGCAAGCTGATTTCCATGAGCAGCGGCAACAGACGGAGGAGAGGCAGAAGGCTTCAGGTAATAGGCAGCAACTCTCTGCATGGGTAACAGAGCATAGCGCCACCATGAAAGACTTGCAAGATCTCAAGGAAAAGCGTGGCAGAGGTAGGTCTATGCACAGTCTCGCCGCGAACTAAACTAACAATCTTCTAGACAAGAAGCGAAGGAGGCTGATCAATGAGCTAACCTCTTATAATTTCATGCCAACATTTAACAGCACGCGAAACAAACGGCACATGGGCACAGCTGAATGGTGCTTTCTAACGTCTGAATATCAAGACTGGGTTAACGCCAGAAAAACAGTTGTCCTCCATATCACAGGCAAAAGTAAGTCAAGGATGACGATTGTATGTACGACGTTCTTTATCTAACAAGACCTATAGTCGGATCTGGAAAGACAATCCTAGCGTAAGTCTACTAATACTGCTAGTGTTGAAAGCTTTCTAAGTAGCCATAGATCCTCAATTATAGAACGGCTGTGCCGTACTCCAGAATCTCGCCAATTCACCTCTTTCTTTTTCCTTCGTTTTGACGACAGGAAAAGCCTTTCTGCCTCGACAGTTATACGGTCTTGCCTCCAGCAGCTTTTGGCGTCCCCTTTGATCCAAAGCTTGGACTCAAGTGCCATATCTGAGCTGGATGGTTGTCTAGAGCAAGCTCAATCGTCGATGTTCTCTATTGAGTCACTGAGATTACTTTATACTACCGCAGCCAAGAACCTAGACGATTGGTTTATCGTAATTGATGGTTTAGACGAGGTCGATGTCGCAAGACAGATAGGACTGTTGAAGTTCCTTAGCGATACCTTTGACCAGTTGCCAGAGCCCCACCGAGTAAAGCTTCTGTTATCATCCCGGGAAACATGCGCGAGCGAAATTGACCGAATCCTGCCTCAGACCATTCGCCTCTACACTGGATTGAAATCCACGAGCTCAGATATCCGGTTATATACGGAGGATATCATCAGAATCAAAATTGAAGCCAGCGAGCTTATAGTCAGCGATCCAGAGCTGGTCAATCAGATCATTGAAGTGATACACCGAAAGGAAAAGGGAATGTGAGTATATACTGTTAGCAGATCATAACAGAAGTCTCTAATAATGCGCGAGGTTCTTATGGGTTTTCCTCACGATTGATGACATCTGCTCCCGGAAGTCTGATAAGGACATCAGACAGGCAATGCAAGACATCCCGGTCGACCTCCCGGCCACATTTGACCGTGCTCTTAGCCGTGTAGCAGCAAAGAAAAACAACACAGCCATCGTTCAGAAAGCATTTAAGCTTATCCAAGGTTCCTTTGAGCCGCTATCTCTTGATCAACTCCGCGAGGCTCTCTCGGTCGAGGTTGGACAGCAGACGCTTGACCAGGACGATCTTGTTAGTGGCATAGATCGCCTACCTACATGGTGCGAGAACCTTATATGCGTGGAAGAGTCAGATACTGTTCACTTTAGTCACCACTCGATTGAGAAATACCTTCTCACCCCAGGCTCGACAGACTTCAAGGACTTTCATCTCGACGCAGACAAATGCGATCAATTCATGGGCGAACTATGCGTCACATATATCAGCCTTGATAACTTCCAGAGAGCAGTAGGATTCACAAAAAGCTTCAACAAAGACTCTTCGCAGATGAGTATTGACATTGGCGGACTGGCTGAGCAGACAATGCAAACCGCAGTGGGAGGTAACATCGGGTCCCTAATTGGGCGACTCACGCGACAAGCCGTTTTGGCTTCGCGGTCAAGAAAGTCCCGCCTTGGCAAGGTTCAATGGACCGACACCTCACCCTCTTCAATCCCAATGCATAGTTTCGGTCCCGCTCAGGGCACAAAGGGATACACGTTCTACGAATATGCCTCTGAACACTGGTTTAATCATCAGCTTTATATCGACTCGGTCAAGACAGAGGCTACATGGAGATTACTAGGCCAGATTCTGCGAAGACCGCGTCAATACTCGCAGGGCGAACCATGGTTTAAGCCAGCCTGGGAAGAACGCGTCAGCGAGACCATTGGTAATGATGTCCTCTTATTTGGTCCTGGGTTTGATTCGTACCGAGAAACCGCCGTATCCCTCGAGACAGATGAGGGTGGAAGGCTCATGAATACATCCACACTGAGGGACCTGTGCCACGTTTTCATGTACGCGATTCAAAATAACAACCCAGGTCTTGCTTGTCGTGTGTTCATGCTGCTTGTGGAGGATTCCAAAAGGGCAGCAAATCGTCGTCTTGAAGGCTACATTTCTGTCATCATAAACAGAATGGCTGTCAGTAAGAATCACGAGACATGTGAGAATAGATGCCTCCGTCGTGCAGGACTGCAACTGAACCACGCTGATGTTGTCCGAGAACTGAGGGCAGCGGTCGCCAGTGGAATTTCATATTTTCCCCCCTTAGACAGGCACGAGGCGCTTCGGATCTGTACATGTCCCCCGGAAGCCGATTATTCCTTAAGAGGAGAAATGTGTCAGCTTCTTGAGACTGGCTATCGGCGACATGAACAACCATACCTTTATCTTTTCGCCGTTTTGGCTGAAGAACTCGGTACTGGTTCATCAGTCGAAAGATTGCGTCGCTTCAATCACGACAAACGGTTCCAAATGGAGTTGATCCTTTCTTCAAAGACGCGCCTGGGGAGATCATTCTTTGACATTTTGATCGATGGGGCTTTGGTTGACACAGAGCGTATGAAAGTCTTCGTAGCAGAACGACTTCGTTCACCAGAGAGATCACCTATTCATGATGATGACCTATTTGGATTCTTCAGCAATTCATATCAGAGTCATTATGCCGATCTTCAGCAACAACTGGACAACACTCTTGCGTTTCTAGGTACCATGCAGGCAGCAAAAGCAAGTGACATACAGATTGTTGAACGCTCTCTGTTGAAGTGCTTAGAGGTAGGAGGGTCTGTCCCACTGCATAAAGAAACCGTTATACTTCTGTTTTTGAACATATTGCTACGGCATCGCTGGCCATTACCCATAAGCCAAGGCATGGTAAAGGTGTTTTTCGGAGAGCCACTGGAACGGGGTCTCGATGATGCAAACGACAGGATACTTTCTCGTGCAGTCCTGTTGAACTTGTGGGATCTTGCGACGTCCCTGGTTGATGTTCAACCCGTTTCTCCAAACGAAAGAGACTTGGTCGACGACATGTCTTATATCAAGCTTGCTCTTCGCTGTGACGACTGCCGACGCATCGCTAGACCGGAGGCAACAGGTAGATATGGGCTGTGCTCAGTGCATTGGAATCTGATAGGAAGAAACATTGATAGTAGCATGCTTGAAAATGAAGCAAAGGCTTTGGTTTCAAAGACGTCGATAGCATTTTTATAAACTAATATTTGTCTCGTCAGCTATTATTGAGGACCTTTTATTCGTTCTTGTTATGTTAACACATATGTCATCCTGTTTTATGAAACGAGCAAGTTCAACATTTCTTAGTGCCTGATGTTTGGCGCAGAAAACTAATCTCATGAGGGTATAGACTGTTTCTCGCTCTTGATTAGAAATCGCTCAACGATAGGTAATTGGCTCGCTCGTCTGGGCATCTCCACCGGACCCTCAGTCCGTGCTAGCTGGCATATGAAATGAGCCCAGCCCGTGCAAGACACGGAACACACGGCCGAGTATTCTACATGATCCTATCAACAAGTAAAGCGTACCAATGACGAGAGTGAAGCCGGGGCAGCGAGTGCGAGCCAGAGCACCAAGGAGCCGGCTTGGCTGCCTAACCTGCAAGTGAGTCGACGCTGCTGAGGCCAGAGATTTATGAGAGCCAGGTACTAACGGGCAACGCAGAAGTAAGCCCCCAGACGTCGAGATCAGCACAGGTTGCTTACATCATCTAGTCCGTCGTGTCAAATGCGATGAAGCACGACCCGCATGCACAAGGTGTAAGTGACGCTTTGAATGCTAGCCTAGGTAAAGCTGATGGTTGTGATAGGCACGTCAACCGGCCGCACCTGTGATGGCTATGGAGAAACAACCTTAGAGCAGCCATCACAGGCCCAGTCGCAAGTACAAGCCTTTACATGCGGATACAGAAACTCCCAGGAAGCGCGGTCTATTCAATTCTTTATGGAGCGTACCCTGTCACAATTGACATCCTTCTTCCCCGATGAGTTCTGGGGGATCAGCATACTACAGGTTGCCCAGTCCGAGCCCAGCATTTCCCACGCACTGGTTTCATTCTCGGCATACCACGAGGCCTACACGAATGGTGTGCCTGGAAATAATATTCCATTTGCACTGAAGCATTACATCTTATCCATCAAGGCGCTACGAGATTCTCACAGGTCGCTGTCGCATGTCCATTTAGTGTCATGCTTAGTCTTCATTTGTATTGAGGTAAGCGTTCACATCATCTAGAATCATATCACCGGGCCGCTCACTATAAGCAGATCCTGCAGGGACATACTGGAACAGCAATTCGATTATTCAAGGATGGCTTCCGGATGATGAGCCATCATCAAGTGATCGACGTGCAGCATAGCCAAGCGACCGATTTAAGTGATATTCGCGACCATATGCGAACCTTGTTCACGCGGCTAGCTCTGCAGGTAGCTTTGGTAAGTATATCAGCCGATGTAAGTGTGACTATTTTAACATTCCACCCTTAGCTGGTGGGTGACATGAGGCCCGAACTTTGTCTCAAATTTATTTCCGGCTGCCAATTGACGCCATCCATGACCAACTATTCCTTCAATTCCCTACTGGAAGCCAGGGAAGCTCTTAATGCTATATTAGCATTACAGTTAGCGGAAAGAACAAGCTCTGCGCTTGTCGTTATGTTCTCTAAGTGGTCCCAAGCTCTCGACAGATTCATTAGCTCTCGTAATGAAGCCACATTCACTCCTAGCGGGCAGAGGTCTCTTGCCCTCATAGATCTACACCGCCGGTACTTCAACATCGTCCTACCATGGGAGAATAAAGAAAACCACCAATACGTGCTCAGCCTTGACAGCTATACCAGCGAATTCGAGGAGTTGGTAAATTGCGCCAGCCGAGTTTTGACCTTCGAAGAAACACAAGCCGCCCCAATATTTCACCTCGATATTGGAGCTGTACCAGTTTTGTTCATGACGGTCGCATGGTGCCGCGATCCTGCCATCCGTCGGAGAGCAATCTCCTTGTTGATGTCCAACCAGGCCCAAGAGGGCGTTTGGAGCAGCCGCCTGACTGGAAGAGTCGCACGGAGAATCATGGAAGCCGAAGAGGAAGACTTGAACGTGCATAGCTGCAAAGACGTTCCTGGACCGCGGAGGGTGAGAAGTGTACTTGTATCTCTAGGACCCAGGGAGAGAGAAGCCATGATACGATACGGTCTAGAAGATAGAGAGTGGGAAGAGCCTATTGCGTGGTAGATATCACACAGATATATATGATAGAATATTAGAGATATAAGTTCTTTTCTAACTGAAGAGGAATATGAGTCTCCTAGTGGAATCTCTTGGGGTCTGTAAGTAGAATCCACGTGAGATATATCTCAGTGCACGCTTGAATCGGCCCTGAAAGGATCGGGATATCAGTTATCCTCGGAGGGCGTGACTCGAGGTACATCGCGTAACCGCACCTTAGCGTTTCCTTTGTTCCTCTGCCAAAACTTTGGCATGTTCTCCTCTCTACCCATGACACGCCCCGGATGAACAACATTAAATACTACCAATGCAATCAGCATGGGCAGAGAGTCCAGCGCATATTGGTAGGCTTCGTGTCGTGGTATCGTGCTGTCAAGGCCTTCAGAGTATTCTACAAGGCGGAAAATAATACGTAGCTGCATCTCGTCAGTCAATGAACTCACTCATCGACTGGCTCTGTCTCTACTTACCACTATGAGAGCCAGTGCAAGGAACAAGGCATAAAATAGCATCATGACAGGCCTCTTCTGCGTGCCAGAATTAATGTTGTCGTTCGACTTGCGGAGTTGGCGGAAGAGGCGAATCCCAAAGACAGTGAAGAGGAGAATAAAAAACAGCTGGATCCCTACCCCGCCCATGTATACGTGCAAGGCATCTAGCTTTTCTTGCAACGTCTTATCTTTCCCAGTAGCAGCCTGGGCCGCGCCATAAACCTGGACAATAAAGGCAATTATGTCGAGTATAACAAAAATGAATCCGAACTGCCATGCCTTCAGACCATACAATCGCCCATTAGGCGTATAGCACCATACCATACGCCCAAATACCATGTAGGCAAACGCATTGGTCCACAGCGGCGCAACGAGGATGACGACGAACCATGTGGCGTAGTAGTCAAAGCTGGCTGGGTTGTAGATGCTGACAGTACGGAAGATGTAAGTGAAGACCTGCCAGAAGGCCGACATTATGATGACCCAGCAGTATGCGGAGCGGTAGTGGATAGCTTGGATGAGGTGGATGATGGTTGTGATGGCGAAGAGGACCATGAATAATATGGACGCGGCTGCGGAGGGACAGAAGTTCCATTGCGTATCTGGAACTTGAAGAGCATGACATTCCATCATGGTTGCTTAAAATAGCTGTGTACTGGCCTCTAATCAAGGAGAAAGCGACGGAGCTTGGAAGAAAGGATAATGGAATGAAAACGCAAGCCCCTCTACTGTACTTATTATACCTTTGAAGGGGTTATTACAAGATGGCATATGCGGGTCCCCACTCAGCCTCTTGACTAGTTTAGCGTGTTAAAGTTTGGGAACTATAATTGGCCGGCTCGTTTGGGCACCCTGCTGATAAAAGCGCCAGTGCTGACATTACGTGCGTATGTCTTGCTCCATCTTCCTCTTATGTATTTACTTAGTATCGACTAACTCTTCTAAGTTCGGGCAGCAAATTACGATGTAGACCATAGGAAGGTAATACTATCTACTCTAATAACAAACAACTACACAGCGTTCTAAAAGTTAAAAGAGCAGCTATTAGTCTAATATAATCTTTTAAGCCAGTCTAAGCGCCTTTTTATCTTCATAAACTTTTCTTATTACCCGCTTCATTGTATTAATAGCATAAATCGAAAGGTTTGCTTCTGCTGTCCTGAGGACGCCCTTAATCTGATCCGGTGTCCACATGAGGTTTGTGGATGTCGAAAATGATGCAGTCTACACTAATCAGCACTGGTATATGCATGGGATCAACACTTACCGTAGGATTGAAATCCGGGTTCAAGGCATTCGGCAACAGTGGGCAGTAGATGATATACATATCTTGCCCACTCTGTCTCGTGCCATGAAAGACTCTGGCGTAGTGATCTATGTATCGAGATTCTACTTCCAACGCATGAGTTGAGCACAAGGCTGTATTCCGCTGTGGCTTGTGGAACTCCCGCGTCACATCTCTCAGGTCAATGTCGAAGTCGGCTGCGAAATGGTGTAGTCGCTGAACTGCTGCTCCAGTGTGAATGTCCGAAGATGCATCGAACGATATGAAAACGTCAACGCCTCGTTCTGGTCGAGCGAGGATATGATTTGGCAGATTGTTTGCCATACCGGAGTCCATGAGTCGTGTACGTCCCTGTGCTTCCCATGGCGGAAAAGAATGTGACTGTAAGGCTTCAGGATTGGAAACGGATTTGTCACTGCTATGCATCCCTCTTTGATGCTGATGAGCAGCTCGTGAGATGTACGTAGAATGCTCTGACGTATGCTCTCGCATCCCGACAGGTCTTTCAAGTCCATAGAACGGATTCGGATCATGCCCCGCACGAATCGGATTTCCCCAAAAGCCCTCAAAGCGCTTCGACTGGAGTAGGTTGTTGAAGACAGTAACCAATCGTGCCACCATTGTATTCTTGGGTATAGTGACCAAGAGGGCTTTGATACACTCCGCCAAAGGGCCAGCTGGAGCGCTAGTGCACTGACCCAGCAAGAGCGAGAATGACTGCTCAGGCCGACGGTCCACAGAATACCCAGAGATGAAGGTTCGTCCCCATGCCCAAGTTGGGACATAGCGGTTGAGGTCCGGACTGCCCACTTCGAGGGGTGAAATTTCGAAATACTGGAAGAGCTTCTTAGGTCGTCTGCTTACAGATGCTGTTGAGTTTACTTGATCATTTCCTTCAACAGAGTCAAGCTGTCGAGATGTCGGTTGTTTCTTGGCATCCCTAACCTTTGCGGATATCGTCTTTGGCTCGTATGAATACTTCGGCACTCGCCTCACCGCTGCAAGAAGCGGCATTGGCTCCAAACCCTTATCTATACCCGATCGGTGCCAGATCTTGGACCACTGAAATGTTGCTCTGCTCATTCTACCCTTTGGCTCTCTGGACAGAAGTTGATATGTTGCTGTGAGAGTCGAGTAAAGATCCATGATTCCCAAGCCTATGATACTTTTCTGGGCTTTACTGACCAGCGGACCGATTAG